AGAGAGAGAGAGAGAGACAATGGAGCTACATTGTTTAGAGTAACTTTTTGGTGGAAAAGTTTTGGCTGTTATATCTGATCCCATGAACTCTATTAGGCCCTGTTTAGTGGGTTCCATGTGGATCAAATTAAAGGTTTTATGTATTTCTTAATTTTACTAATAAATTCTTAAATGGTTTGATCCTATACTCAATATTGGATTCCATTAGTTTCACATGTTGATAGATTTATCTGTGGAAAAGTAAAAATGTGAAGTTCGCATTTTTGTCCATTCAAAGAGTGGATCCCTGCTGACCCCAAATAACTAGGATAAGGCTTGGATGATGATGAAAGAGTGGATCCCTCTAGATTTCAAACATATGTCCTAGGATATAGAAATTATATAGAGAGTTGCATTGTAAAAGATATTTAAACATGTATTGCTTGACCATTATTCCCTAGTCCATGTGGGTGTGCTTCGACATTTTTTTCTGATAGTTTCATTGCTAGATTTAGAAGGATCCTATGGACATGTTTGAGTTATATAGTCAAAGTGGCGTGATTTTTGAAGTGATTGCTAGTTTGTAATTGTAACCCTTATTCCTAAAAGAAAAGATGTGGATATTAAATGGATTCGTGTATACTGGCTTGGTTGGAATTTTTATAAAACTATATTAATGGTCTCATCAAAGATGTTGTGAACCATCTAATAAGGTTGTTTTCAATGGTAGGCAGGTCTTGGGTGGGGTTCTTGAGCCAATTGATGCTAGTTATGGGGTTAAGAACAATATCTAAAAACATGGAACTGGCCATGGAACTGGATAGGGAGCGCATCCCCATTTGCCAAGTCCCAAGTCTGAAGGGTCAAGACTGACAAAAATAACTGTTCGTTTTTTTTAAAGACTCTTACAGTTCACAGATAAGAGTCTGTTTACCCAAGTCCTGGTCACTGAAACTGGAGGGGCTCTGGTTTCTACTGACTTGGGCAAGTCTGACTGTCCGAGTAGGACTTGTGAAGTTTCTACCCACTGCTTAAGAATGCTTGACTCAAATGTAAGTTGACGTTGAGAAGCTCCTGATCATGTGGGTGGGTTGGAACTTATTGGACTATTTGATTAAGTATGGGAGTTTTGGTGAGAAATGGATAACGGATTAAGGATGTGTAGTGACAACCTCATTGTCTGTCACATTAAAGTGGATCTAAAAGGTTATTTTAAATCTTAGGGGATTGAGGCATATTTTTGTTGAATTCACCTACATTTCCATCCAACTTATTAGCTTATCTGCTGCCTTACCACCTTTGCTATGGAATCTTCGAACTGCGGAAGGCGACTATGCACTTGCTGTTTGCAAGGGTTGATGGGAGAATAGCAGGGTTAATAACGATGTTACTTCTTTTATGCATATTACCCTCCTTGAAACAACACTTGTTTTTCTATTAGGGAAATGCTCGGGTAAGGGTGCAGCCTTACCCCAACAACTAATGCTTCAGCCTTTTACACTGTCCAAAAAAGTGGACATTGCAGATTTAGCATTTTTTTTACTAAAAGAGAGAAACCTCTGCTACCTCTGTTTGTTTTCCTCCAATTCTCTCTCTCTTTGTTCTCTTTCTTTCTCTAACCTCCCCCTCTTCTCGTGGGTGAAATGTCCTGCGACCTCTCCTTTCACTCCTTTCTCACTGACCTTCCCTTCTCTCCCCCGCTCTCTCACTATTGGTCTACATGCCCACTTGATAGAAAGAGCATTCCCTCTTATTCCCATGGATTTTTTATGCCTCCTTTGGGGGAGATTTTTTAGGCCTTCTTTGGGGGAGGAAATTTAAGTTTCAAGATAGAGAAAGAAGGGGTCAGAGGAAGCAGTTGTAGGTGGTGAGAGGGTGAGAGAGATCAGCCACCATTGCTTGTTTTTCTTAGGATGAGGGATAAGTACCATATATTTGCAGAGAAGTTTCCATTTTGTGATATGGGTTTGCTCAATCAAGATTCTTGATATCAGGTCCTTGGGTTATGGTGCTCAATCAAGATTCTTGATATCAGGTCCTTATCTCTTGGGTCTTCAAATATTACAGGTGATATTTTCTTGCTCATCTGTCTATATATATATATATATATATAGAGAGAGAGAGAGAGAGAGAGAGAGAGAGAGAGAGAGAGAGAGAGAGAGAGAGAGAGAGAGAGA